GGGCCCCGTGCGCATCGTGCTGCACAACTGCCCCTGCTACCGCATCCTGGCCTCGCCGCGCCACGTCTTCCTGCTGCCCGCCCCGGACGCCCACGCCGGCGCCGCCAAGCTGCTGCTGGTCTGGTGCCCGCAGGAAAGCCGCATGGCTCTGGTTGCGCCCGCCCGAGGGCTCCTCCGCAGCCACCCCCTGCCGCCCGCAGGAGAGCTGGACTTCAAGAAGCTGGTGGCGGGGTGCGCGGGGCTCCTGCCCGCCCTGGACCCGCTGGACATCCACACCTGCGCCCTGTCGGACTCGGGGGACCTGCTGCTGCTCAGCCCCCGGGGCGCCGTGGACCTGCTGCAGCCCAACGGCGCCCAGCGCCGCGTCTTTGACTTTGGGGGCAGCGCGCTGGCCCCAGGAGACCCGGCGCAGCTGCACGCACGGAGCGGCACCTTGGCCTGCGCGCTGGCCGGACTGCTGTACCTTGTCGACCTGGGCAGCGGGCGGCTGCTGGACAAGATGGTGCTGAGCACCAAGGAGGTACACTTCCTGGAGGACGAGGAGGAGCTGCAGCTCCTCATGCCGACGGGGATCTACAGCTACGTCCCCCGCGGCGTGGAGCCAGGCGGGCGCCCAGAGCCCCCGCTGTCTGAGCTGGTCTTCCAGGAGGCCTGCAAGTACTACCAGCGCCGCAGCCTCAGCAGCGCGCCGCTGACGGTGGAGAAGCTGCGCAAGGGCGGCATGTTCCAGGCGCCCATCGCACTGGCGGCCATCCTGCACCGCGGCCTGCGCCCCCAGCACAAGCCGCCCCACGGGCTCCCGGGGCCCCACGCCAAGCTGCTGAGCGCCCTGAGCCTGGAGCTGCAAAGCTACCGCAGCCTGGAGGTGCTGAAGGCCTGTGTGGTGGGCGCGCCGGAGGGCGAGGTGGACAGCTACTGCGAGGAGCTGGTGGAGCAGGAGCTCGCCCGCCTCCTGCACTCGGAGCTGGACCCGGACAACCTGGCCTACCTGAACACCATCTTCCGCTCCTTCCCCCGGGCCGCCTGGAAAGCCGTGCGCGCCAGCCTGCAGCTGCGGCAGGGCACCGACGGGCTCTTGGTTGCTCGGGCCACGCCGGACATCTGGAAGAAGGTGCTGGGAGGCCCGGCGGCGCGGGAGGTGGAGGGGGGCTGCAACGGGGCACTCCCGCTCTTCGAGCTCATCTGTGGCTCCCTGCACCGCTACAAGCCCACGTGGCTGCCGCGCTTCGTGGCGCTGACACAGCAATACGCTGGCACTGCGTGGCCCTACGGCAGCCAGGACGGGCCCGAGGGCCGTGTGCCCCTCTACAAGCGGGCGCTGGCTGTGCTGACCCGGCGGGCCGGGGCCGCGGGCGATGAGGACCTGGAGATCGATCTGCTGCTGTGCAGCGCGCGGCCCAAGGCTGTGCTCCAGGCCGTGCGGCTCCTCGTGCGGCTGCGGCACTGGCCCCGTGTGCTGGAGGCTGCCCGCCGCTTCTGCCCACGCAGCCCCTTGCTCAACAAGGAGATCTTCGCCACGCTCCTGGCCGAGGTGGCCCAGCACCGCGAGCTGGACCCGCACCTGGGCACCCTGTGGGAGCTGTGCCCCCCAGACCTGGCAGCCACTGACATCCTCGCCATTGTTCTGCAGCACCTGCCCAGCCCCGTGGCAGGAGAGCCCGCTCCCTTTGCTGCTGCCCCGGGCACCCCGCTGACCGTGGGGCTGCTGAAACCGCTGCTGCAGCGCATGGCGCAGTGCCCACGGGCCCAGGACGAGCTCTACGCCGATGCCCTGCAGAGCCCCGGCATCCCCCCGCCCACCCCACCCCGGGAGCGCCGGGCAGGTGTCGAGCTGGCACCAAGGACTGCCACGCTCGGGCCGGACCAAGGCGGCACCGTGTGAATGGCGCTGGGGAGGGGGCACCCGGGGAGGGTCGAGGGCTAGGAGCTCCAGCCTGCCCCGATCCGTGGCACTGGAGCCGGCCCCAGGGCAGGGTGAAAGACTAGATCGGGACCAGCAGGGCCCCAAGTGCTTCAGGGCAGGGGCTCAGCTTCCTCTCTCCGTCCTACGCACCAGGCCTCTGAGACCAGCTCCGGTAGCTTGAAAGCTCGTGGCCCTTCCTTAGCGAGCAGCCAGCCGCACCGAGGAGCGAGCAGAGCCACGGGGGAGCTCCGTGCCAGGGCCTGCAGGCCGTCCAGGCGGCCCCGGGCCCTGCGGGCCGTCCAGGCCTACCCCCCCTCCCCCTTTGCCCCCGAGCCGGCTCAGACACCGAGCACTTTGTGAGGCCCTCCCTGCCTTTCTGCTGCCTCAGCTGTGCGGGAGCGGGTAACCTGAGACAGCCGGGCCGGCCCGCTCCCGGCAGACTGCCACACTCCAGACACTAATGCACGGCCCCCAGTGACGGGGGGGCCCTGTCTCGACCCCCCCCCCCTCGAGGACACTGTCACACCCCGCTCGAGCACCTGGACTGGAAACCGGACAATAAAGGTTGCTGACGCAGCACTGGGGCAAGAGACTCGTGTTCAGGGGCTGATGTAGCTACGGGCTGCTGCACCATGAGGCGGGTCCTGCTGTGCTGTGGGGGCACCCCCCACCCCAGCCCCTCAGGGTACGTCCTTCCAGCACCCGCTCCAGACCCCAGCTAGCTGCAGGAGCCTGTGAGCTGCCCCCCAGCGCCAGGGAGCTTGGCTGTGGAAGCAAGAGGAAGGCACTTGGCCTCCCTGGTGCGGGACACGTAGTGTAGACAGGCCCCCGGCACATTGCGCTGCCTGGGGACCGGCCCTGGGAGCTGTGGGGGGAGGACGTGGCTCTGTGCAGCCAAATTCACCAGTGTCCCCTCCATGTTGCACCCCAGCTGCAGTTCGTTCCTCCCCGCGCAGCATGTCGGCCCCTCCTGGGAAGTCCCTGTGGCTGCTAGCCAGTGTGGAACCAGCCCCTGGAAGAGGAACTGCCGGGTGGGAGCGATGGGCCGGGGCGGCATCAATGAGGCTTTGTGCAGCACCAGGTCACGCTGCAGCCCACGTGCCGGGTGGGGGGGGCTGCTCCCATCCAGCAGGGAAGTGGGTCGTGATGGACCAGGCCGAACAAGCCCGAGCCTTTGGGTGGTGGGCAACGGGTCACCCGCAGCTCCTGCCCGGCCCCTGCAAACCTGGAGGCGAGGGCCAAGATCAGCAGAGCAAAGCCTGCGGCTGTGATGTGGCCTCTGCTCCAGCTTAACCCCCACCCCAACACCTGCAGCAAGGGGGCAAATTCCTCCCTGACCCCACGGAGCAGCCCTTCCCACCTGAACCCCCTGTGAATTACCCTGGCTCCCAGACAGGGTGGGGGTCACTGGGCACCAATGCACCAGCTGTTGGGCAGCCACAGGGCAGCTTCCAGCAGGGCGGTGGGACCCCTGCCTGCCCCCCCAGGGTTGGAGCAGGGACCCAGCCCCTCGGGGTACAGCCCCAGAGCCACCCCTGGCAGCAGTGGGCTGGTGGGCACGAGGGGCACAGCCCTGCATCGCCCCACGGCACAGACAGGCAGCTCGGCTCTTCACATACGCACTGCTTTATTGCGCGCGGCTGTGCCGGCGCTGGGGCAAAGCAACCCCCGTGGCCCAGCCTGGGCAGCTGCACTCGGGGCCGGGACATCAGGGCCTCGTCTCCACCCGTGGGATCTTGAAGGCGGGGGGCGGCGCGAACCTGTGGGGTGCGAGGGAGGGGGCATAAGGGGATGTCCCGCAACGCCTGCCCACCCCCTTCGGCTGCCAGACTCACATCTCCAGGGCGTTGTTCCTGCAGGGAGAGAGGGGCAGGGTCAGGGGGGCTGGGCACTGCCCCCACCCCACAGCCCCTTGGGGCTGCGAGGGTTTTGGTTCCCCGTGGCCAG